AATAATAATAATAATAAAGAAATAATAAAGAAAGAAACACCCCTCAGCATGGACAACAGAGACTAACTTTCCACCCTGGCTGACAGTACATCCACTCAGATTGTGGAGGGAAAACTCAGAAGCAGACCCTTAAGTAGCTCTTCTTCCCACCTGGATTCAGAACCTTCCCTGGCTGTGTCCAGCCCAGCACTGACAGCCCAGGGCCTGAGTTTATAAGGGCACCCCGGCCAGTACCCGTGTGTGGGCCAGAACCAAGTGCAGGGACACTGCCCGCTGGGCACCCCCAACCTGGTGGCCTGTAGGCCCCCTCCAAGGCAGGTGGGAACACCCGCAAGGCTGATGCAACACGATAGCAGAGGTGTTTCAATAACGAAACACTTAGGGCATGACTGCGGCTCCTGGGAGGAACACCAAGAGAGCAGCATGGCATCTGTTTGGGGCTGAAAGAGGAGCTGGAGGTGAAAGGAGACAGGAGATGGGCCAGGGGTCTCGGCGTGGCCTGGATAGGGGATAGAGAATCAGGTTGGAAGACAGACTAAGGACATCTCCCAGGCAATGGGGAAGCACCAAGAAGGGCAGCGAGGGCCAGTGTGGTCCAGATGGCCTCCTGGGAGGTCTAGGGTCCTGGGAAGTCAGGCTGTGCAGATCTGAAATTTGTATAAGACACTGAACAATTACATGTGAAAATCACTGGTTAACAAACCAATTTACTGTTTAGCAGAGTCCAGTGAGCAAGCAGGCCATTCTGAACCATTGGGTCTGGGAGCCCTAGGACAGTCACTGTCCCTGAGCACCTCAGTTATGTCACAGGTCAGCTCTGAGTCTGTGAGATGCCTCCTGGCAGCTCCTTCACTCAGAAACCACTGGGCAGCCCATACGGACAACAGTGGCAGAGCCACTTTATACCCTGAAGTCAAGTGAAGACTCCAGAGACTCAGCCTGATGTGCAGGAAGCTGGGTCACACCTGGGCCTGCACCTCAGGGTGTCTGACCGGCTAGGACTATGGAAAGCAGGCACGGGAATGAGGAATAAGAGCAGGAAGCTCCTGCCCCCTTGGACAGAAGTTGGACCCTTCTCCTTTCCAGGGGCAGGAGGGCCCTGGGTCTGGAGTCTGAGGTGAGAGAGATGGGGGTGCTGAGCGCAGGCCGAGGGGAGGGCAGCCCATCCAGCCTGGAGCCCCGGGGAGCTCTCTCTCACGCTGCTGCTTTAGTATGGAGTTTTTAGGCCACGAAATGGGAGAAAAGGAGAGGCCCCAGGTGGCTTCCACCAGAGCCCTCAAACCCACGTCAACCGGGATCAAGGTGTGAAGCCAGGCGTGAGGGCTTGTCTGGCGGCAACTCGGCCAGATGGCACGCCCGGATGGACACACGCCTCTCCCTGCCCACCACCCTGAACCCTGCGGTGCCAAGGGCCTGTCCCCAGCACACCCCACACACACGCAGCCCTGCTCCCAGTCTGCCATCCCGAGAAACCCCTCACATCAGGCATGTCCGCACAGGCCCACGCAGCCCCTCCAGGTGCCTAAGCAGCGGAAGGGGTCCTGGGGTCTCAGAGTGCCAGCCCTCGGGCAAGGGCTCTGGTCCTCCATCCGGGACTAATCCTGATGGAGGCAGGTTACACCTCCTCCTCCTTTCAGTGCATCTGGTTAAAACAACACTGCATTTACAAACCATAAATAAAAATGAAAGAGGGAAGGAGGATGGACACCTGGACGCAGGATCTGACAAGAGGGAGGCCGATCAAGAGAACTGTGCTCCCTGCTGGCAAGCAGTCTCCACTCTGCTCTCTCTGGAGCCAGCCCAGAACTCGTCTGAGAGCAAAGCCTTTGTAAGTCAGGTAGAAAACGCCTCCTGGTTTGTTTTGAGGGTTTTTAAAGCAACATTTGGGGGAAATTCAGCCATCTGTGAAAAACAGGATGTACACCGAGGACCCCAAAGCCTGGCCAGCACCCAGGAGGGGCTGAGAGGGCGGCGGGGGTCTCCAGGGAGCAGGGCAGGCACGGGGGCAGCTCGGGGCACTGCTCGCACTCCCGAGAAACAGCGTTTTCCACCCAGGCTGACCAATCTCCTGATGACGCCCGCTCCCAAAGACTGTCCCTGTAAAATTCTGTTAAACTACCTCTGTAGACAACCAGCTTCTGGTTTATTCATGAGTGAGCGTACATGGAAGGAGGAGACAGGAGGGTTGGGAGCTGGGTTGGGGGAGGGCCCTTGGCCAGGCCCCTCCTCGCAACTCCCGGGCCCAGCTTTCTACAGGGTAACAGCCAGCAAGAAGTGGGTCTAGAGGGGTCTTCCAAGCCCAGGATGGCGTTTCTCTCTCCAACAGCCGAGGCTCACTGGTCGCCCAATCACCTTCTCTGAAGAAGTGGGGTCAGGTGACAGGGCAGCCCCTGCTCTCCCAGGAGCCACCCTGGGCCCTGCCTCTCTGTCCACTCCAGGCCTAGTGCTGACCTGGGAGTTCTGGTTGCTCCAGGCCCCCCTCCCTAGCTCAGGCCATTGGAGGAGGGGGAGGGTGTGAGTAGACCCTCCCTCACTCTCTCTTCACCAGAGCGGAAGTGCCTCGGCCCCCACCAGTCATCAGGGCAGCAGCCGGAGGCCTAGGGGCACTTCTCACATGCTCTCAGTCTGCAGGTCCCTCATCCTGCCCTCTTTGCCCAGTGCTTGGCCATGCAAACCAGCATTCCAAACCATGCAGCCATCGGCACCACCAGCAGGGGGGTGGGCTGCACACACACACACCCCAGGCCCCCCAAACCAGTTCCCAGAGTTGGCTCAGACCCCCTGTGCCCCCACTCCATTGCACAGAGTCACCCGGGTCCTTGTGGGCACATTTGATGACTCCAGGTCAGAAGAGGACAGGGGTCCAGAGAGGAAGGCCCCTGATTCCAGGCAGCATCAGAGAGAACACCCACCCCAGCCAAGGCCAGGGGATAGGCCAAGCTTCACGCAGAAAGGGTGGGCTGCAGGTCAGCTCTCTGGTGGGGTCTGAGTGCCCAGAGCACGCTCCTATGCCAGCACTCTCTCTACTGGCCTCTCCCTGATGCCCCTGGGCACAGACAGGACTTTCCAGGATAATCTTCTGTGACCCCAGGGACAGAGCTTCTTCACAACCCCAAAGACTCTGCCCGTTGTGTGAGGGCATCTCAGAGCAGGTCCTCCTCCCTCAGGCATCAGAAGCATTCAGGGTGACAGATGACCGCTGCTCCTGCAAGAACCTTCCAAGAGAGTCTGGAGCATCGGCTCCCAGTATCTGGGGCTGCCTCCAGACCTGTGGGAAATGCCTGAAGTCACAAGGACCACTACATCCCCCCCGCCCCGCCTACTTAGGTAGCCCCTCTGCCCTGGGTGAGTTCCCATACCCGTGTCTAGGGCCATCATTCAAAAGGGCCAGAACCCAAGGAGTTGCAGCATACAAGGCCTCCATGGCCAGCTCTGAGGCTCCGCTCAGCCCCTGGATCAGCAGACACCCTTGTGAGTACACAGGAGGTGGGGGCCCCCATCTCCAGCTCTGCAGGACAGAGGGGTCATGAAGCTACTTCCTTCTCTTTGCAAACAAACTGCCCTGTAAACCCTAAGCAAGCCTCCTCTGCATAGCCAACAGCTCCGGTCCAGCCCTCCCCACTGGCACCACAAAACTCCAATTGCTGCTCTCCCGTTCTTTTGTTTACCATTAATCAGCAGGGCCATATGGAAAGATGTGAGAGTCACAGCCACAGGGCCAGGGCGGGGAGATCTGGTGGTGAGGAACCTGGGCCTCTCCCTAGCACCCACCCAGCCTCCCTGGGTCAGGAGGCCAAGTCCAGGCACATCCTCTCACCCAAGACTGAGGCTCGCCTCCTCCAGGTTCGCCCCAATGCTCCCCTGCCTTTTGTTCACTCAGCCACTAGCCTCAGTCCTCAGGTCTTTGATTTTTTTCTTTTAACCACCGGGGCAAAATTTCTCAACTCCCTCTCCCAAAAGGATAACAATCACAGCCGTTATCGCCATTAAAGTGACACAGTCTGATGGCTCAGGACCGAGCCCATACCCTGCTACCAGACCCTCCTCTCAGAGGTTTTGTCTCAGAAATTAAAGCCCAACTTTACCAGCCAATGATGTCCCTGGATGCAAAGGTAATGCCGAGAGCAGAGAAGCCCTCTGTGACTTAGAAGGAGCAACTCTCGCGACAAGGGCACGCCACACCATAACCCAGGAGCTGCTGGCGGCTTGTTTATCTTCCTGATTCACAAAGAGGAAAGTGAATCCAGCGGACAAAGTCCACGGCCCAGAGCACATCACCCTAGAGGCAAAGGCATCATATCTTTCAAGGCTCACACAGACTTCTTGGCTAAGCCTGATTTGTAGTTTTAAACACAAAAATCCAGTTACTAGCGCCATAAACAAACACACTCGTGACCCCGATCACATAGCGAGAAAAGGAGCCTAAGGGAACAGCGCGTCTATCCCACAGACACGCACCCTTAAGTTTAGAAATATGTGACACGCAAAGACAGGGCGCTCACATGACCATCTCTACTCCGTCTTGGGTGGGGGCACAAACGCGGTCCGGACGGCGTCCCCGCTGCAGAGCGATCTTCTGCCTAAGGAGCCAGCGTTCTCCCAGGGAACCCAGCTGCCAGGTCCCCTGGCTGCAGATACATCTGTGTTCCTCTTCCAGAAAAGCACATAAAGTTTTCGTCTCAACACCAGGTCCCCCACTGTCGTTTCTGTCAGACGCACAATGTGTTCACTAAATTCTCGGAGAAGCCAAGCGCGTGAGCAAGCCAAGGAGGGACAGAGAACAGGGAGGAAAACAGCCGCCGGCAGACCCAGGAGGAGGAGAAAGCCTCAGTCCAACAGAGCGGCTTTAAAAAGCCATCCTCAGACCTGTTCTTCCAGCAAAGAAAGCCTTCATCTTAGAAATTAACTCTGCGCGCGCCCTCTCCCCGTCTCCACCCGAGGGGAAAAGCCAAGCACTGGGCATCTGCCTTTGTCAGCAAAAGAACATAACATTGACTTACCTTTCCCCACAGCTATTGTCTGTCCTCTTTCAAAATGACATCACGGAAAGCAATCATGAAATTTACATGGGGGGTGCGGATGGACGGGAGGAGAGGCGAGGCGGCTGCCTCGCTTCCAGCGGTCACATGTGGGGAAGCCTGTGTGCGGGTTTCAATTAAATATCTTCTCCCTTTAGTGTGCGAACTCCTAAGCCAGCTGAAGGCGACGTCTCATTTACTTAATGACCGCTCTCATTAGCAGCGGTGGCACGGGCTGGCGGAGAGACTCCTTTGTAAATACGCTACCCATGAACCCTTGGGGCTCCAATATATCTGTTTACTCTCCGAGGTGAAATAAATTTACAGTATAGCATCAGAAAGATGGATCTGCTGACGGGGAGCGAGAGGTGCCCAGGCCCTCAGAGCCCCTGTCTCCTGCTCCAAGCCTCAGCCAGCAGAAGGTGCCCGCGTTTGCCCACACTGATTCATAATTAATATGCAGCACGATTTGGAGTTTTTTATGCAAAACACACAAAAGGGCAGTACACGTCACTACCACCAGGCTCACCCCCCTCTGCTTTCTCCACCAGTGGTTCAGTCCAATAATTCCTAATAGCAGCAACCGGAATGACAGATGCCCTGGGTTAGCACGGCTGCAGCGAAAGTACTTTACAATATTTATTGGTGGTTAGGAATATGACCTACCATCATAAAGAGCGGACTGCAGAATTTATTACTCAGATGAGCCAGGAGGGGTGCATAGTGGCTCATCTGCATATCTAAGTATCAGCGACTTAAATGGATATGTATATATTTTTTAAGTGCATAAGGTTCCTATGGTCACAGACCAAAAAAGAGTCATATACACAAACAGCAGGTGAGGAAAAGAGACTTTGCCTTTATCATACATTTCCTTTTTGTTTCCAGTCTGAAAATCATTAAATGCTCTCACAGAGAGCCTGAGCACTCGGAAGACACATGTATCCTACACCTTGAGACCTCTGAGTTTTTCCCAGCCAGAAGGAAGCACACCACTCAAGTTCCATCTTTTTGAGTTTTATTCAAACTGCCTGCAAGGAGCTAGCCAATGAAAATCAGGAGAGAAAAAATTGATAACACACACAATGGAAGTGCCCACCCACTCTTTAAGTAATCCAACTGTTTACTTTCTTAGGTGTCAGGCTTGTGATTTTTTTTTTCCACACTTAGGGATAAATGTAGGAATTTTGTCAGTGAGAGTAGCCAGGAGCTGGGGATTCTTGCTTACTATCTGAAGTCCCTCGTCTTACAGACAAAGCTAGCAAACAATTGTTCATTATCATAATCCAATTGTCAGAAACTGCACTGTGAAACACGACACACGCTGAACTCCAGACACTTGCACAGAATGGACTGTCACAGGCCGGCGAGACGGCCAGAGAGACCCATGGCCCAGAAATTCAGTGCAGAGATTGCGACAGACAGCAAGTATCAGTTTTTGGTACGTTATGTGGGACACAATGTGTGTGTGTCCCACATCAATCAGCACTGAAGGGCTCGGGCCACCAAAAGCATGAGTGAGACAGAACCAAAACATTTAGCTTTCTCTAAGAGAATGTTTTTGAAGGGCAGGGAAAAACCCTCCACAAGCAGTTATTTTCAACTTGCAGAGCTGCTCCCACATTGCATGTAAACCAAGGAGATTCATGCTGAAAATAAGTATATTCAGTTCTTACACACACATTATTCTCAACAAATAAAAGACAAAATGCACTCAAAGCAATCTCTTAATTTGACCAATAGGAAATAAAGGCAAGCCCTCGCTGGTCAAACTGAGGATGAAATATTAATCAGCCAGATGAGAACAGCTTGTGGCCCCGGCCACAACTGCCTAACGTTGTTTTTATTCTTTCCTAAGCTCACACCCATTAGCATAGAAGGACACGTTCAGTTAAGAGCTCTCTTCAAAAGCCATTTCCTGCCTCCTCTGGACACACTGCAAGTACTGGGATATTTTACATCCCAAACCTTTGGCATTCAGAAATTCTATTAAACTCTTATCGGCAGACTGCAGGCTCAGACAGCCCTGTGCGCTGTTGTTCCAGGCTGGAGACGGAATCAAGGGAGAGCCAGTGCTGAATCAGCCGATTCCCCCACAATACCAGTGTTTCATGAAAGCATGTAATTCAGACATGGAACACTCAGACGCAGGAAACAGCAGCAAGCAAGAGGTAACACAGTGTGTGTGACAGAAAGACCTGGGATGGCAAGTAACAGACTCCATCCGCCCACACACTCAGGAACCTGCAGCTCTCACACCTGCCCACTGAACAACAGGCTCCCGAGGCAGGCAGCCTGGGGGTCCAGAATGCGGCCTCTGATATCCACCTGAGTCTGCTCAGGGAGCGTTCCAACGAGCTCAGCAACTTCAAATTGCTGCCTGTTCCTAGAACCTGGGGAGAAGCCCTAGGAGCCTCCCCTCTCCCATCCCAGGTCATCGTTGCAAGAGCCGGTTCAGAAGACAGGTTTTGATGAGTAAAGGTTCAAAATCTCCCTCCCACTCCATCAAGAGAACAAAGGAGGACTACAGGAAGGGAGCCAGGAAGGGACTCAGACCCAAGTTTTAAGGTTTCGCAGCTTTGTCAGTCTGAGTGGTAGGGTCCAGACGCGCCTGGATCTGATCAGCACGTTGGACAGCGCTCCCTCGCCCGAGGGCCCTTTGTTCGCGCAGTCAGGACTGGCACTCGACAGTCCCCGAGCCCGGCGGGAGAGATGATTCCAAACCAAGTCTCCCAGCCTTGCGTGTAAGTGACAGCAGCAAGGTGTCATGAAAACTTTTCCTCTTATACAGGGGGAAACTGTCAGGATTTTTTTTTTAATCATAAAATATTTCCTTTGCCATAACTAAGCAAGGAGTGCATTGTTCCTCTAAGTTTTATTTCATAAAAGATCTGTGAGGAGGACACCTGTAATTTTAAAATTTGGAAGATCCACAGGGAAGCAACCTCTGCTTGATTGGAGGGTTCTCAAATGCCACAGGGGAGAAAAATGGGCAGATTTGCAAAAGTAAACTTGCAGCGCTCGTTTAGGAAGTGTTTTGTGGGAGCTGGGAAGGCAGGCTCAAAGATGGCTTAGCTAGTAAGATCATTTCAAATAAAGTGTAATTACTTGTGCAAATCTGCACACAGACATTCCAAGTGTCAGTTCATTTGCTTCATAAAAACTCTTTCAAGTAATTTTGGTCGAAACTTTCTGCATCTGTAATTGGCACCACCTTCTCCGGTGACCAGCTGGGGGTGAGAGTTTTCTTGTTTCCCTCTGAAAGCGTCCCTGCAGATGGGCGCCCGCCTTAAAGCTGCAGACGACAATTAGGGCCGTTGTGTGTGGAGCCGCGATGGTCAGCATTAATATTGTATACGAACAGCTGAGGGCGAGGGGGGGCGCTGCCCCAGGCAGGCTCTGGCAGATGGAGCAAACAAAACCGAGAACACTCTCACCAGCATCCTGGGCTGACTCACACACACACACACACACACACACACACACACACACGCTCTGGCCGTACCATAAGAGTGTTTCATGCTGAGACAGCAAACACACCAACCCTCTGACACTGTGTGCACACTTACACACACATACACACACTTGATTGGGAGAGTAACACACTGTTAAAGTCTCTTCCACACACAGCAACTTTGCATGTGATGGAAACACAAGCATCAGCAGCCCCAGTGAACCATTTGCTGCAGTGAGTCCCGGGTGGACAGGCAGGTCACACACACACACACCCACCTGCTGCCCTCCCCATCTCCCACAGACAGGGCAGCATCCACGGGCTCTGCAAGCCCCTCCATCAGTCTCTGAGGGCCCTGGCCTTGCTCTGAAGGGAGCGTGTGTCTGTCACCTCCTCAGCTGCCCAGAAAAGAGCACTGAGACCTGATGGGGACACACAGCTAATTAGTCCCTTTGGCGTCTTGGCAGAAACCTGTGAACAAGCCGGGGGAGGGGTACTCAGGGGTGGGGGTGGTGGGGAGTACTCACCCAGGAAGGTCCCGCAGAGTGTCATCTTGGCTGAGCAGGCACACCTCCACTCAGAAACTTGTCCTGTGTGGTCACTTCATGCTGCAAAAGTTGTGACACAAACTTCTGTGTCCAGGGCCCTGGAGAGCTCCCTTCTCGTGCAGCCAATCGGGGGCCAGGGAGCAAATAATCACAAATTGATGCCCTGCCAATGAGGCTCCATTCCCCGCACAAAGGGGCCCCAGGCCCCAGACAATGAGCCCTGCCTGCAGGTGGGAGGAGGCAGAGACACAGCCTCTTCTCACTAAGGGACCAATAAGTGAGGGAGGGGAGGGGCCCGTCCTGAAGGTGCTCCCCTTCCCCTTCCCCTCCCCACTTTTCTGCCTCGCCCTCCCCTATCCCTACCCCTCTTCGTCCTCTCACTTTCCTCTCCCTCCACTTCACCCCAGACCAAGTTAAGTCAGAAACCTGGCTGAAGACCACTCAGGACAAGTGGGTGGGGTCAGGTCTCATTGGCCTTGACCTCCCCCAACACAGACATTGACTATGAGGGGCAGGCCCTGTGGCCCCTGAACAATGGATGCCCCACTACCCAGGTGCGAAGCTTGAGGGGAGGGGGAAGGTGAAGAGAGGACCAACTCCCTCAGGGATGGAGGGTCAGGAGGGGGACCACAGAAGCAGGGCGGGGTGGGGGTACATGTGGGTGGGGGGTGAGTTAGGCCTCTCTGCGGTGACCTCTCATGACCCACCCTATGCCTGTGACCCTTTGATGCCCATGGAAGTCTTTGGAGCAACAAGTTCAGCCAGCACCAGACTTGGCTGAAGCCCCCTAGCTTCCCCTGATGCTGGGTGAAGCTCCCATTCACCCCTCAAGTGAGACAGCTCAAGTCTCCATCCAATCCTCAGCCTGAGTACTCCCCTGTCTGTGCGCAGCTGTCTGCCCCTGATAGGTGAGGCCCATACAGCCTGTGGCCACACTCAGGTTCCATGGGAGGCCCAGGAGATGGGCTTGAGGACAATCCTTGTAACGGTGGGAAGGGCAGATGAGACCCAGGGCCCCTCTGACATTCCTCGAGAGCAGAGGCCTCAAATCTGGTCCCTGGGGTTGTGGATGCCTCTTTACGAAGCCTGAGGGTGGTGAGTCACAGGCCCCAGGCTACCACACAAGCTGGAGGGATGGGTGCTGAGCTTCACTCTCCTGAAGCCAGGAGGAGGGAAATCTGGACAGAACCCAGGCTATCCCATGTTCCCTCATAGCCCTGTGACCACCTGCAAACAGCTAACTGTCTCCACGTCTGTTATGAGGCCTCCAGTGAGGGC